GCTGGATGGGCAGGCACACAAACATCTCAGAGGAAAAGCAGATCGATTTCTCCTGCCACATGACTGTCCAAAAATATTGTTGATCTTACATTATGTGTGATTGTTTGTATGGAGAGAAAGAATCCTTACTTCCTCCTGGGCCGTTTGGGAATTTGGCAGGGCCTGAAAGCGAGTCAGTGGTGCATAGGGTAATGCTCCATGGGGAGAGTGTGCTTAGTGCTATTGCAGGAGATCACATTAGTGCTCTTGACACAACCAAACACAAAGTCCCAGCTGAACAATGAGTTTTTAGGAGGAAAAGTGAAACGTTAGCAAGGCGTGTACATCGCCGCGAATTTGCTTCATCTTGCTCGTTGATGTGGTGGTAACAGAACTATTTTTAGGTATAATCCTTCAAACAGAACATGACTTCTCCTTTCTGATTAGTACAAAGCTGGCTGCTAGTCAAAGGATAATTATTTCCCAACACATCACCTAACACACACCAGCAAACAAAACACTCATTATTTGAACTATCCAGCACTAACTGTTGTTTAGCAGTTAACATTTTCTCGTCAGCTTTAAACAGGACTAATTGCTCCAGCTTCATTAGCAGAGGTCATTTGCTGTTGGTGACAATACTTTTCTGGAGATAGTGTCTCATATGAGATTAGATTATCAGGTCAAATTCTGCTCCCAGTGGCAATGATGCCTGACCGCATTTGGCCTCACGAAAGTCTGCTCTTCTCAGTTCATAGCTGCCCAATTTCCAGGCCTTCAGCTGATATATTACATAAAGGAAGTAAGTGCACTCCACCAGACAGGAAATTACAATAAATTAGGAAAGTGTGCAGTACAAGGAAGGTTTGCAAAATAGCCACTTCAAGGTTGTTAATAAAATCTCAGCCCCAGATAGTGTTTAGGGAAAAAAAAAGCTGATAAAGAAGTTGTCCTTATAGTTGACAACACATGGATATCCAAGAGGAAAAGCAGCATCTCTATAAGAGCCAGTGTATTCAGCTACTCAAACACCCAGCTGATGCTGTCAAATGCACAGTTCAGATCATAAGCCACCTTTTTTGCACATAGTTCCATGCTGCCTGGAGCTATAGACAGTGGATGCTGAGGGCTGCAGTCTCAGAGTGCAGCGCGTTTGCAGGAGGCCTTCTGTGCAGCTCTCACTGGTGGGGAGTCCTTCTGCAGAACCTGCTGCGTGTCTGAAACAGCCTCACCTTCCCTGAGCACAAAAAAACCTGAATCCAGTCCTGATCTATTCCCATTCAAACACGTGGAGAGAGGCAGCCTTCTTTTCAGGAGTGCTGAGCAAACACTGCACGGAGCGTGGCCGGCGCCTTGGAGAATCAGGCGCCTTCCCTGTGGAAGTCTCCAGGCATCCTCGCCAAACAATTCTGGCCCTGGCAGCTGCAGGACATTTTCCCTGAGCATATTTCTGGTTTACCTGTGTCTCCCTTCCCTGCAGGCCTGCAGCTCTTTGCTGCTGCTCTCCTGCCCACGTACGTGTGCGGCCGCATGCCTACCACCTTTTCTTTCTGACTCGCAGCTCCAACTGCTAATCCATGTCTGGTTTTCGTCAGAAAAAGATATTCATCCTGAGTGTTTGACTTGCTGCCTCCGGAGTATTTCAGCTGCCCCACAGTGCTTCTCAGAGTATCCTTCTTCCCTGCAGAGAACAGCCTGTTCTGAGTGTGATCCACAGCAGACTGCTCGCCAGCAGCCTCGCCTTCCTCGCACACGTGTGTGCCATATGTCCTGCTCTGTCCTCACTGTTACTGTACCACTGCCTTTTCCACGCCGTGCAGGATGGACTGGCATGCCCTGTGCAGGCTGCCAGTGGGATTACTTCAGCTGTCTATGAAGGCACTCAACGTGTCAGCCTCCAGACTCTTCCAGCAGGTCCTCAGCTGGCAAAAATTCAACAGCAGGCAAATCCTGACTGCTTTGCTGACACAGCTGGCCCTGCTGAGGTCAGTGGGCCAAACTCATCCTACCTCAGTGCCATTACACTTGTCCAGGAGATGCATCACCCAGTACAGCTCTTCAGCAGGGCAAGCAGAGCAAGTTCTGGCCATAAATTTCCCACCTAAGCTGGACCCTGTTGAAGCAAAAATGTCACCACTTTTTAAAGTCTAAGGACAGGAGTGTTTGAATAGTTAAAACTGAGTGTGTGAACTGATTTATGAGATGAAGAGCCAAGTCCATCAGGCTGTCCTGCTCCATGCAGTAGGCCCTGTGCTTCTCCAGGATCCAGCACCCTGCTGAGGATGAGGGCTTGACAGTGACTTCAGTTCCCAGCCAGGTGCTGGGATCCTGCCCTGCTCTCCCCAGCAGGCAGGGACCTGGCCCTGCCCTGGCTCTGTGATCCACAACATGCACAAGGAGAGCAGCACTGTTTCCCCATCCCATCCCATCCCATCCCACCCCATCCCAGACATGCACAGCCAACATCTCGCTGCAGCTGCTGGCATGAGACATCACCATCCAGGGCACCCTTTTGGTCCTGTTGTGTTTGCTATAATCAAAGATTAAACCAGATTTTTTTTAATTATTTGATAGCAAAGCCCACTTTCACTTAGCTCCTGATCTGATGTCACCCCAGCATTTTAAGGAGCCCATTTCACTCTTACCAAGGAAGACACCATTAACTGCAGCTCACATCAAACTCCAGTGACATCAATGGAAAAGTATTATTTACTTCTCCAGTCCCTTTATTTTGTATTTGCATGAAAAGAGTAACTTTTTTTTCCCCCTGAAAATACAACATTAGAAATTGCAAAGGACAAATTCCTTAACTTTGAAAACAAAGAAAAATGAACAAATGGTTTCCAAAACAAACCGTGAGCCACCACCCTGAAGAACTCGCTTTGGGAAGTGCTGTTCCTGGGAGCTGATATTTAATTAAACTATACTCCTGAGTTTAATAAAGCAAAAAAATTCTTCACTTTTATTCTGCACTGTCTTTTTGTTTCTCTGCCTGCCATTTATTCATTTCAGTAATGAAAAACTTTATGAAACCACAGGATAGAGCACACCTTCATAAAGCAATAAAGGAAGACAACCTTTTGGAGCAGGGGCACAAAGCTGCAGCACTTCTGCTCACTGTAACTCCTTACTGAGATCAATGAAAAATACAACATTCAGTTATCAGACCTGCTGGCAGCATGAGGTGGACCCACTTGTGGGGTGGCATGTAATGCTTACAGAGATTTCATTCTACTCAAGACCATTTTAAGCTTTCAAATTAAGCGTCCTCTGTAATCTTAAATATTCTGGTCTCCTGACACCCACTTGTGTACTCCAACGACAAAAACAACAAAAGAAAAAAGGGGGAAAAAAGACAAGAATATATTCCAGAAAGGAATAGTTCAAGAAAATGAGTACTCATTATCAGAGTGGAAACACCTTGTCATTAGCCATTAATTTTTTCCCATTAATAAGGGAAGTCAGTGGACCTCACTGCAACAGGAACACAACCATACTGGGTTTCAAACAGGTTTTTTACAACACTGTGTCAGGAAAAGCCATTAGATCAAGTTGTATTGGTAATCTGAGCCATCTTTGGAGAAAAACAAATGCTGTTCTTCCCATTATAGGTTGGTATTGTTTCAAAACCTATAGAGACACAGTTGCTTGTGCTGCAATGGTATTTATTGCACATAGACCAATTACTTACACAGTAGTAAATTGCACCAAAGTATAAATATGTTATAAAACACACACACAGAGAAAAATGGAAATGACACACAAGTGCTAAAATAACAGCAGATTCACGTGGGCATTTGGAAATAAAAATAAAAATAATAATAATGTCTCTTAAGATATTTTAATTTATAATATGGATATATTTACAGTACCTTCAAAAATAATATTAAAAAAGTCACTCTCTCAATAAAACTATAACAGATCAGACAAAACCAGAAATCAGGTTCAGGGTCGGTGTTACGCAAACCTCCGTTTCCTTTTCAATCTGCATGTGTGTATGTGTGTGCAAGTAATATCTTCAAATAACTTTACAACTCTTTAACACTGTGCAAAAGACTTTGTCGCCATTTTTTAAAAAAAATGTGCAGTAAATTTTTGTTGCCAGGATTCTCCCCCCTCCCCCCGTTCATCTGTAATTACAATGAACAAGCTGCAGAAGGTTCCTCACCCCCCCTCCCCGGCCCTTGTCCTAAAACCCCATTAGTGGTATGTAAATATGCTGTTTAATATAAACATGGTCCGTCCATTCCCCTGTACAATATGCACAGTTTGAGGTAGAAGTTTCTCAGCCTGACTGCTATTGTCTGGCCGAAGGAGATAAGCACAGTAACTCACTGCTGGCTGATGCAGAGGGAATAAGCACAAGAGTGTGGGTTGGGTTGTTTTACCCCCCTTCCAAAATATACCAGCGCTCCTCACTGCTCCTTATTTTCCCTCCCGCTACTCTGCAGACGAGCAGAGCACGGCTACTCCGAGATTAAAACTCATCTTGCCGGCGGGTCTGTGTCTCGCCGGCCGCGCTCCGTGCCCGCAGCACCTGCAGCACCGACCCCGCGCCTCCCCAAAAATCCCGGTGCCCTCCCTGGGAGAGGGGACGAGCCCCGGGGCCGGGCGGCGGTGTCAGACCCCAGCTGAAGCCGAACCGGGCCAGCACCGGGTACCCGCCGGTTCGGCCACCAGCACGGTCCCGGGACAGGCACCGAGCGCTGCCGCCACCGTGCCCGCCGTGATAGCGCGTCCCCCAAAGGCAGGCGGCTGCCCCTGCGACGGGCTGCTGGCTTCCTTTGCTGTCCGCTCAGTGGCTTTCCTGTTTGCTGTCGTTTCGGATGAGGTATGTCGTACACCAGTTCACCTGCTTCTATTCCTAAGTAAACACCCGCACTCCCCCTGCCACGGCAGGGATCGTTTCGCTCGGCAATAGCATTACCATGGGGCAGCTGCCGGGGCTTTCTCCGCTCCTGCGTGTCTCCCTGCCTGCCTGTCCCCCCTGTCCCGGCTCCGGCGCGGCCCCCACGCCCCCCCTATACCTTGGACTCCGAGTCGGAGGCTTTGCTATGTCTCTCCTCCAGGCTGGACTCGCTGCCGCCCCGAGTGCCCCCGTTGCAGTCGGACCAGGTCCCGGCCAGGCTGCGCTCCGGGGAGCCCACGGTGCTGATGAAGCCCCCGGGCAGCCGGGCCAGCTCCCCGCCGCCGCCGTGCAGCCACCGGTCGGCTTTCCGGCGGCAGCACAGCAGCCTCTTGAAGGCCTTCCGAAAGTCGGGGCTGCGGCAGTAGATGATGGGGTTGAACGCGGAGTTGGCGTAGCCCAGCCAGTTGAAGAAAACGAAGAGCCAGTCCGGCACCAGTTCCCTGTTGAAGACGTTGACGATGTTCACCAGGAAGAAGGGGAGCCAGCAGAGGGTGAACACTCCCATGATGATGCCCAAAGTCTTGAGGGCTTTCTGCTCCTTCATGGCCATGATGCGGGAGGTCTTTCGCTTGCTGGCCCGGCCGTTGCCGAGGATGGGCTGGTGGTGAGGGTGAGCGGGCAGGGGCGTCTGCGGCTGCTCCTGGCTGCCGTAGAACCGGCCCTCGCACCTATCGATCTTCCTCATCTGCTCCTTGGCCTCTCTGTACACCCGCAGATACACAAAGATCATGATGAGAAGGGGGATGTAGAAAGAAATGATGGACGAGGCGATGGCGTAAGCCCTGTTGGTGACGAAGTCGCAGCAGCCCGGATCCTGGTAGCACTCCAGCGCCTGGGGGTCGTCATCCCGCCACCAGTGCATCATGATGGGCAAGAAGGAGACCAGGGCAGAGATGGCCCAGACGGTGCAGATGATGCCCTTGGCCCGACCCTTGGTCATGAGGCTCTGGTAGCGGAAAGGCGAGGTGATGGCCAGGTAGCGGTCGATGGCGATGACGCACAGGGTCTCGATGCTGGCCGTCACGCAGAGCACGTCCAGCGAGGTCCAGCACTCGCACAGGAACGACCCCCAGAGCCAGGTGCCCCGCACCACCAGCGTGGCCCCGAAGGGCACCACCAGCAGCCCCATCACCAGGTCGGCGCAGGCCAGCGAGGTGATAAACAGGTTGGTGAGGGTCTGCAGCCGCTGCGTCCTCCCGATGGCCGCGATCACCAGCACGTTCCCGGCCACGATGAGCAGCACCACCAGGGCCATCAGCAGGCTCATGCCCACAGCCCACTGCTGCGACAGCTCGGCGGCGGGCAGCTGTCTGCTCCCGGGCGGCACGGCCGTCACCCCGGCCACGGAGCGGTTCTGGGGGCCGCAGTCCGGAGGCAGCCACCCATCGCCCATGGCTGTGCGGGGCGCTCCGGCCGCCGCTCCGCACCGCGCCGCGGGCAGGAAGGCGGCGCCGCCGCCGCTGCCACCGCCCGGGGGCTGCCGCATGGCCCCGCGCCGTGCCGCCGGACGGGCCCGCCCCGACACCGCCCTGGCACCGCCCCGGTACCGCCCAGGTACAGCCCCGGTACCGCCCAGGTACCGCCCCGGCACCGCCCCGGCACCGCCCGCCGCCAATCGGCACCGAGAGAGCGGCACTGAAGCGCCCGCCTGCGCACCGGCCGTACCGCTGCCCCTGTTCCTGCCCCTGTCCGTACTCCTATTCCTGCCCCTATTCCTGCCCCTATTCCTGCCCCTATCCCTGTCTCTGTTTCTCCCCTTATCCCTGCCCCTGTCCCTGCCCCTATTCCTGCCCCTATCCCTGCCCCTGTCCCTGCCCCTATCCCTGTCTCTGTTTCTGCCCCTGTCCCTGCCCCTATTCCTGTCCCTATCCCTGCCCTTATCCCTACCCCTCTTCCTGTCTCTGTTCCTGCCCCTATCCCTGCCCTTGTTCCTGTCCCTGTTCCTGCCCCTGTCCCTGCCAGTACCCCGCCCGGATCCCCGTGTTTGCTCTGCGTGCCCCGCGGCTGCCGGGCACAGAGCCCCTTCCCGCACGGCACCGTGGATGTCCCGGGCACGGGGTGTCTGTGCCCGGCAGCCGCAGGGCAGGAAGAAGATAAGGGCAGAGTAGGTTCCTACCGGCTTCTGGAGCAGAAGTTACTTCTCTTTATCCCTGGGAAAAAGCAATCTGCCAGCACTGTCTGCTTCACTCTCCACTGGAAAGTAATTGCCATGCCCTCCCGTTGGATGTCCCCATCAGGGACAATTGTCGCGCTCCCAAGCCCCCTGTCCTCAGCGCCTCCTCTCCCAGCCTGGGCAGCCCAGAGCCCCCATGTCAAACCCGCTTACAGGGATGATGCTGCCAGCTCCGTGCAGGGACTGCGGCTGCCGCTCGTCCCTTGCATCTCCCCATTCCGAATCCTCTTTTCCCCTTCTTCTCCAGCCCTGCCAGACCAAGACACTGCAGGGTTGGGAGGTGGGAGCCACAGCTCTCGTTTCTGGCTTTTCTCTGTTGTGCTGAACGGATCTCTCTGGGCTTTTAAAAATGCCTGCAGTAGCTTTGACACAGCCTGGTCAAAGCCACGAAATCTAGGGTCTGCTCTAAGTATTAATGCTGTTAGTACCATTGTTTGGTAATGAACAGTAAAGTACGTGAAACATCAGGAGGCTGCAATGCCCAGATAACCAACCGAGCAAATGCCCAGGTCCCATCCCCTTCCGTGAAACCTGCTGCTAGAACTTGTTTGGTTGTATTTCCATCTACCTGCTTGGCTCTCTGTTCTGCTCTGAAGCTGTAAGACTGCATTTTACTGTTTTAAACTTCTTAAAATAATGTGGAGCAGCCACTGAGTAAATGAGAACAATGTCCCCTCTCTCCTGCCTTTTAAATCATTGGCATGTCTTTACAGCAGCACCAAATGTTCCCCACAGCTCTCTGGGAGCAACTGGAAGTCACAGTTATTTTCTTCCCCCTATATATTTATTCTGCTAAGACTGCTCTGCTGTTCCAGCTGGCCCATAAAAATCCCTTCTAGGCTTAGGTTTGATTTACAAGGTCGCAACCTGGGGAAAAATTATTTATTTATTTACACACTGTTTATTTAACCCTGACTAAAGGCCACACACCAGCGTGGACCTGCTGCTTGGCAAACCATTCCCTCATGTTCCCATGGACTTTGCTTTGCTGCTTGTCATCTGCTGGATCAAAGCATGACCCTCTTTAGTGGGAAGGGAAGGAGGCATGGCATCTTCAGGAACAGAGGGAGAGCTTACGCCAAATGAAAAGCAGAACGGTTGTTTCCAGGAGTATTTGCCCAGGTCTGCTACCTGTAATTCTGATCTAAAAAAAAAAAAAAAAAGTAATAATATGAAACCAGGTTAGTGGAGCTGTGGGATAGAAACAATTTTTTCTTTTCTACATTTAGCTGGAACACTTAAAGTAAGTATGAGGCCCGTGGTGCATCATTGCACCAAAACCTTCACAGATGAGATGCTTGGATGAATTTTGTGAATGCGTACAGTCCATTTTAGCATAAAATCAGCCAGAAAAAATTCAGATAAAATCTTACATATTTTTCCCAAGATGACACTGAAGCAATGGTGGGGATACCCTGCAGCTGTTTTACTTGCTATTCCTGGAGCACCATCCATCTGTCATCTGTCCAGATCCATTATTGCTGTAATATCTTTACACAGTTAATAAATACCATAAACTAATAAAATGCCAGCTCCTTGCCTATCAAGCCATCCTATCAGATCTCCAGCAGGAGGTCTCTTCCAACTATAAGAGAAGATAAGCTTGAAGGCTGGAGGACTAAAGGAAATTATTAACAAGTATGCAATAAAGCAGAAGACACATAATTGTGTGGTGCTTCTCTGTGTCTTTGTTGGTACTACACACATCAATCTGGAATGTCAGATCAGAGCTGGAGCCAGAATGTCTTTGGGAAACAATGCATCTCCAAAGGAAAAAATAAGCAAGTTTACGAATTCTGTACAGAACATCCCTCTGGCCCTTGCAGCACAGAGCAGCCAAATGTTCACTGTGGGCTTAACCCCTTTCAGAGCATTACCTTCTGCAAATCTCCTCTAACTCCAAGTTTCCTTGGTGTTTTTGGGTTTTGTTTTTTTTTTTGGTTTTGGTTTTGGGTTTGTTTTTTTTTTTTTTTTTTTTTTTTTTTTTGCATTTCAGACAGCTCTTTAACATGATTTAAATACTTCCATTCATTTGCATAGTATTTAAGGATGTTCTGTAAGGTCAAGAGAAGAGCTTACAGCACTGAAATGGTTTGTTTCTCCTTGCTCTCCAAATCACAGTTTTTAATGAGCAGCAGGTAGATCCAATGAGAACCAAAATGTATTGCATTTGAGGCACCCTGTTGGCATGAGCTGTGAAACCTCAGCATTTCAGGAACTGAAGTGAGCTATGTGGGTGTTTTTTAAACCCAGTCCTTTGAGATGCTTTGCACAGCTTACAGCTTGTCTTCATGCACCTCCCTCCATGCAAAGCAGATTCCAAGCTGTTCTGCTGAATGGGTTCTGTCCCTGCCAGCAGCACCAGCAGTGGGGCAGGAGATTGGGAATGGTGCTGGACACTGGGATTAACCCCTTCCTCCATCATTGCAGTAGCTAGGGCAGTTGATTTGCTGTTCCCATGCTGCTGTAAGCCATCCCTGCATCTCCAGGGCTGCTCTGAGCTCTGTGTTGCCTTGTCATGCCCCTTAGACAAAGATCTTGTCTTCCTTGCCCAGTCTTGGCCCAGCTGTGCCTTCATGAATCAAATTCAGGGACCACTATTATTAACATAATTCACTCTAAAAACATGAGCTATTTGTTCTCTAAAGGCATTTAGCAAAGTCCACTGAGAAGCCTGGAAATCCTCCCATTGATTTCAGTGAGCCTCATGTTGTAATTCCTTCTCTGGAGAAAAAGAACCACCTAAAAGCAAATTAAAAATGCATTTGCTGTCCATTTTTCTGCCTGCTGTCTTCCTTAATCCCTTAGCAAACTTAGCATGCATCTGGTAAATCATTTTGTGTTTGCTGCCTGGACAGCTGACTAAAACCTGCAGGAAAGGAGGTGAGAAACAACTCTGAGATTCCTCATGTGAAGTGATCAGGCCTCACCCTCTCCCTGCTGGCCCAGGAAGAAGTCACCACTTGGCTCAATTCACACCGGACATTTGTTGTTAGAGAAATAGAGACATGATGGAACATTGCCACAAGATCCATGTCTCTTGCTTTTAAAATAAACATCTTGGCTTTGACTTGACGTTTATTTTCCATAAATGCCTCAGCCTCAATTTGGCATTTCAGCAGCAGCAGGAGGCTGTTATCCTGTGACAACGCACAATTCCATTGACATTATCTCCTGAGCACGTGTGACAATGCTCCAAATACTGCATGTAGTTCATTTCTGTTAAACAATATCAGAAAAATATAAAGCAAAGGTATCAAAGAACAGATTTTCCAGACCTATGCTGTGTGTGTGATGCTATAATTCCATGGGGATGCTGTGTACAAGTGTGAGCTACCTTAGGATGAAGCACACCCTGAGTTTGACTTTGGGGGTCCCAAGCAGTGAATGCTTATCAATTCCTGTTCACTCAAGGGCTGTGGCTGATGTGATGGTTAGCATGTACAGGACTGAGCATATCAATGTCTTGAAAAGCCCCAAACCAATCTGAACACGCATAAATAAATTCTGATGCTCTGGAAATCCCTGTCACAGTAACCTAGCCATTGTACAGAGTATTTTTGTCATCAGGAGACCGTCTTACAATCATGCTGATTCATTAATTCCCTTCAGGTGATAAAAGAGATGCAATATGTCTTTCTGTCTCTCTTTCACACACTGAGCAAAACAGTGCTGAAGAGCAGCCAAGTCATGTTTCTTGTCTCCTAATATCTGTGTTAGTTGCTGCTAAAAAGTCAAAATTCAGAGGAGGGCTGAGTTTGACCAACACCATTCAATTCTCCCAGAATGGACTTTATTTGCAATCTGGACTAATATTAATCTGGAGTAATAATTGTGTGCTCATTAATTCAGATTACAACTGACTGCAATTGCTCAAGTTTCTGGGTATTCCTGTCTGCATCCCCCCCATACTTTCTTGACATCCAGACTCCTCTACAGAGACTCTGGCACTGTGAGAAAAGGCTGCCTCTTTTTTAAGCATCAGCAATTCCTGTGAGAGAGGTGGCAAAACATTTTACAGCAGGCCAGAAAACCCTGCAGTGGCCAGAGGCTTTGTTTATACAGAGAGATTGTGGTCAGAGATGACAGCAGAGGAGTGATGACTGAGTCCTCTGAGGTCTCATGTGAGTCTATTCCTGCTTCAATGCATGCTGGCTGCAAGAAGTTGCCTTATTTCTCCATCCTGATGCTTACCCATCCATAGGATGACAGTAACATGC